ACAGTCAGTACCATGACTTGCCAGCCATGTAAGAGAACCACTTTGGAAGCAGATCCTTTAGCCACAGTGCAGCCTTCAGATGACTGCAGCTACAAACATCCTTGCTGTAACCTTATGAGGGACCCTGAACCAGAACCACCCAATTAAGTTACTCCCAAATTCCTGATCCATCGAAAACAGAATGAGATAATAAATGTTTATTGCTGTTTTAAGCCACTGAGTTTTAGAATGGTTTGTTATTTGATAATAGATACGCCTGATAGACAGTAGATATTCAGTAACACTTTCCTGCATGTTGTGGTTTTTGCTGTATGCCATCGAGTTGATTCCGACTCATAGCAACCCCATGTGGCTGAGTAGAATTGCCCCATAGGGCTTCCTAGGTTGTAATCTTTACAGAAGCACATCACCAGTTCTTTCCCCTGCAGAGTCACTGGTCAGTTCGAACCGCCAACCTTTCAGTTAGCAGCTGAGGGCTTAACTGTTGCACCACCAAGGCTCCATTTTTTGCATGCCTGGATGAATAGTATAAAGGCTAAATCTAATTTAAATTATAGCCAATGTTTTAACCCCCCTCCTCCATGCACTCAGGTTTCTCCTAGCTCTGACAGTCTGGGGTCCTTTGATTATGGCAGATGCTCTCAATGCTCTGTTTATAGCCCTCAGACCTTACTGTACTCTGGATCAACTTCCTACTGCTAGAATTTGTATTTATGAGCCAAAAGCTGGGAAGTGCCAGGGAAGTAGTATCACTTCTGTCCCTCAGCAACTCTCAACCAGTGACTGACGGGAAGGGTGTATAAATACACCAACTCCCTCGCCTCTCGAGTGGAATAACTCTGAGGAGTGTAATTACTCCATTCTCAGTGGATCTAAGCTTCAGTTGCCCACTGTGGTCACTGGCTTAATAACACATTCTTTATTGGTTGCATTCCTTTCGTGTATAATTTCAGTACTTGGTTGCTGATATTCCTTGCACTTCCCAAATAAACTAAAAAATCAGTTGCCGACTCATGGAGATACCATGTGTGTCAAAGGAGAACCACGTTCCAAAGTGTTTTCAATGGCCAATTTGTTGAAAGTAGATCACCAGGCCTTTCTTCCAAGGTGGGTGAACTCGAACCTCAAAACTTTCTGTTAGCAGCCGAGCGTGTTAACCATTTGCACTACCCAGGGACTCCCCAGATAAACTACTTGTGCTCAAATCCTCTTCTTAGGGTTTGTTTTTGGGGGATCCACACTAATACAATACTTTCTTGCAAGCAGGGGCCATGCCTTGTACTTCCTTGTACTGTCCACAGGGCTTAACACTGAGCTGGGTTCTCAATTCTAGAATCAGCCTCCTGGTGCTTCGAGCCCTGTTGGAATGTCCCATGCCCAGGTTGCATTGTAGTTCTGGTGGCAGACAGAGAGAGGGGGTTCAGTGGAGCAAGATCAAACCACACATATCCTGGGAGGAGTAGAAGCTTCTAGCTCTATGTCCTTCTGTCCTGCTCCTGTCTGCTCTGATGGGAGCTCCAGCTCAGAGCCAGAGGTGTGACTCTCAAGGTGATGAGATACATGATTGTTCTTGGCCACACCTTGAGCCAGGACACCCTCTCCCACTGCGCAGAGCAGAACAGAGCAGTGCAGCTCAGAGCAGAGTAGAGCAGCGCAGTCCAGAGCAGAGCAGAGCAGAGCACCTGTCTTTGGTTCCTGGCAACGAGGAGGAGAAAGATGAGGGGGAGGAGAGAGAGCAGTCAGAGGAGAGAGGAGGAGGAAGAAGGAGACAGGGAAGAGAAAGGAGGAAGAAGAAAAGGAGAAGGGATAAAGAAGTAAGGGAGGGGCAGGAGGAGGGAAAGGAAGAGGAGGAGAAAGAGGCAGCGGCTTGTAAAGATCAAAGGTACAAAAGCATTTAAAGGGCAAGGAAGGCTTGGAACTCAGAGACTAGCTCCATGTGCTTTGAGGGTAGAGCATGAAGGACAGGGAGGGTGTGATGGGAGAGGAGCCCTAGGTCCATGAGCAGGGCCAGTCTGTAAAGGACTTCAAATGCCAAGCTAATGAGTTCGTCTTATAGGGCAGGGATTGGTACACTAAGGCCCCTGGGCCAAGTCTGGCCCACAACCTGTTTTTGTAAATACAGTTTTATTGGAACACAGCCACGCACAATCATTTTCACATTGTCTATAGCTACTTTCAAGCTAGGACTGCAGAGTTGAGTAGTTGAGACAGAGACTGTATGGCCCGCAAACCAAAAATATTTACCATCCAGCCTTTTACAGAAAAATGTTGCCAACCCTCGCTATAGAATGTTCCTCTAATTCCAACAACTGCCCCGTGCCTCTGGCCAGTTCCACCAGACAAGGTGGACAGAGGTCAGCACTGCTGCAAGGTGTGTTCTCCTCGCTGCCGACTCCACCCCCTACTCCAGATGGGCGGACCCTGTGTCTGGTTTTATTCACTGGTGGTCTCTTCCTTGCCCATCTTCCTTTCCTGTCTCTCCCTGGGGACCATGCTTTCGCTGCAGAAGGTCACTGGGAAACGTGCATGGATGGTTGTTATCTTACCAGGGTCTGAGCCTCCACTACAAAGAGGCTTCCTTCAGACTGGGCCTCCTTTGACCCTGCAGGGTCCATGGCCGCCGTGGACTTTCCTCTCCTAGGAGGAGTGAATGGGTGGTTGGGGTCAGCATGCTTTCAGATGGGGAGAGCCTCTTGGCTTTTGCCATTGGCTGGAGACCTGGGAGGGTCTAAACCGTAGACTATGAAGGTCCCTGCAAGAGTGGGAAGGTGTAGGGGGAAACTTGGTGTCTGCCATGAGAAATATGGAGGGTGGCGTAGCACTGGCATGGGAGTCTGAATAACTGTCCTGGTCCCAAGTCTTGCACTTCCTAGCTCTGTCACTTGAAACAAGCCTCTTTGCCCCTCTGAGCTTCAGTCTCCTCAGAAAGTGGTCCTTAGACCACCTACCCCAGAACCATTTGGGAGAACTTGTTCGAATGCATATTCCTGGGCACCACTCTAGACCTATTGAGTCAGAGTCTTGGGTGCTGGGCCTGGAAATATGCATTTTAACCAGATCCCCAGGGGATTCAAATGGGCAGTTAATGTTTGAGAGTCATTATTTGTAAGCCACTCCATGAAGCCCCTTAACTGTGGTGAATGCTCTTGCCCTACCTGGCATGGTGACCACCTTCTGCAGGGCAAAATGACCACAAACCCGTTGCTGTTGAGTCAATTCCGACTCACAGCAACCCTATAGGTTAGAGCAGAACTGCCCCATAGGGTTTCCCAGGAGGGGCTGGTGGATTCGAACTGGTGGCCTTTTGATTAGCAGCCAAGCTCTTAACCACTGCGCAATCGAAGTGCCCCCCGAGCCCTTAAAGGTCTTTTAGCAACTGAACCAGGGGCAGTCAAGTTGCCTCTGACTCATGGCGACCTTGTGTGTGCCAGAATAGAACTGGGCTCCATCGGGTTTTCTTTATTGAAATTTTATTGTGTTGCTGCCGTTGAGAATATACACAGCAAAATATGCACCAATTCAACAGTTTCTACGCGTACAATTCAGTGACAGTGATTACATTATTTGAGTTGTGCAACCATTCTCATCCTCCTTTACTGAGCTATTCCTCCCCTATTGACATAAACTCACTGCCCCCTAATGTGTCTGTCTAATCTTTGCAGTTGCTGTTGTCACTTTGATCCTGTATAGATAGTTCTTAAAAGGGCGTAATGGTCAAGGCAGACTTTTTTTTACTAGTTAAGCTAAACTATTGTTTGGCTTTAAGAAGACTCAGGGGATATGTTTGGTCTCAGTTTTAAAGATTATCTCAGGACAATGGTTTCAGGGGTTCATCCAGTAAACCTCCAACCTGTTGATTAGCAGCTGAGCATGTTAACTGTTTGCACCACCCAGGGACTCCAGTGACTAACCTGTTGTTAAATTGTTCATGGCTTGTCAGAGCTGGAAGAGACCATGGAGATGCTCTAGTTCTGCCTTTTCATGTTACAGATGGGGAAACTGAGGCTCAGAGAGGGGAAGTGGCTTGCCTGAGGGTCTCTTGGGGGTGGATGCCAGCTTTGGTTCAGTTTCCTCAATTCTAGCTCACTGCCCTCCTCATCCAGCCGTGTTTCACAGACTCTAGATTGTTTGCAATTTCTACAAGTTCCCTGTGTAGTTTCTGAGATGTTGGCATCTCAACTGTATTATTTGCTTAGCATTTTCCCAAGTAGACTTCTTTGTTTTACTTAAATAAATTTATTTTATGAGGAAACTTCATATCATGACTATAAATAGATGACCCATGTCACTTGTCATCAACAGAAGGTTAGTGAAGAAGTAATTACAGAACCATTGACATGAGTAGTCTTTGAGTAACTCCCTAAAGTCACCTCTAAAACCACCGGTGTGACCTTCACAAAGCCTTTGGAAATGCTGAATTTCAGGGTAGTGGGAAATGTATGGATTTAAACTTTGTTTGGGAATAATCTAGGGTGGATGGTCTCGGGCCACCCGGGTTCAATTCTAGTGCTAACTACTCAGGTAGTTTTTGCGGGTGATGTAGCTTCTCTCCTTGGTTTCCATCTTCTATAAGGTGGGGCTAATATTCTCTGAGGCAGCCTAGGTAGCACAAAAGGTTAATCGCTCGACTGCTAACTGAAAGGTTGGCAGTTCAAACACACCCAGAGGGGCTTCAGAAGAGAGGCCTGGCAATCTGATTCTGAAAGATCACAGCCTTGAAAATCCCATGAAGCACAGTTCTACTCTGACACACATGGGGTTGCCATGAGTTGGAATCCACTCAATGGCAACTGGTCCTGGTTAAATATTCCCTGCCTCACAATTGTGATGAATAGAGGGAAAAATTGCCATGAAAATGCCATGAGAGTCACAGGGCACTGTCCAAAGTTAGTTTTGATGGCTGTCTTGGTAAGTGCTGACTGAGGTTTTCGCTCCCTGATCGGAGCTGGGTCATGGAGCAAAGGAAACAGAGAAAGAAATTATCAGAAGAAAGCACTTACCCTGGGGCTGGTCCTGTGGGGGCCTCTCCAGCCTGGAGGCTGTGGCTGCTGCTGGCCCGTTGCCCTCTCCACTTGGCCCTTCAGTCCTGACCACATCACTCCTTTTGGTGGGTTTCTTTAGAATCTCCTCCATGGAGAAGGACAGGCCCAGCCTTTTGGGGGCCTCACAGCACCCCGAGGTCTTCCTCTCCATGCCCTTGAAGAGAGCAAGGCCCACCCTGGCACTCTCTGTGAGTCCTGGGAAGAAAGACAGCGAGGGAAGAAGCAGGGCTTTGTGTGTGCCCAGGAGGATGCTCCCCAGAACCTCCTGGGATCAAGAGGGTGAACAGAGGTAGAGAATGGGGAGCCTCATGTCGGGGTGTCCAAACTCGCTTCTGTCTCCTCAGGGACTTCCATGGCTCACTTCATAACGTGCTTGGATTGTCAAGGCGGCAGATCACACCAGAAGAGCCCGGTTGGGTACCTGGAGGCAGAACGTTCTCTATCCTGTGCCCACGGGCTCAAAGCCCCCGCTAGCTAGATGCCAAGGGAGTCACCATTGACAAATTAGGGTTCATCTTCCAGCGAAGGGTCTTCCTCCAGGCAGCTGCGTTCCCAATCCCCACCAGAGGCCCAGAGTCCCAGGTCAGTGCCCAGTGGAGAGCAAGGGTAGGGTGGGCAAGACCACAAGGGCAGGAAGGAAGAGGGTGTCCGCCCCCAGAGGAGACAAGGGAGACTGTGTGTCTACCTTTGCCCTTGTTCTGGGTTGAGGTGCTTTCCTGATGGCTCTGGCCAGGCCTCTGGAAGGCTGGAGCGCCACCTCGGGGCCCCAGATGGCCAGCTCAGTTCTAGGCCTCACTGGAGCATGGTGTGTGTTCCCGGAAACCTTCTTGGTCTTCTTTCAATTCTGGTGCCTCCAGACTCAAGGATAGGTCTTCTGGAGAGCCTGTGCTTCTGCTGTGCTCCAGGTTGAGGCTAAGGAAGGGGGCTGTGGGGTTGTGGCCAGCCCATCCCCTCTGGGCTATGGGTCTAGGCTGAGCTGTGGTGTCAGAACCTTCCAGGCTTTCCTTGTCTGGCCCAGGCTTTCTTCTCTTCTCCTGTTCCTGGCCTCACTTTACAAGTCCACCTGTGGTCTCCTGGCCTGGTGTGCTCCTCCTTTCCTTTTGTGTCCTTTCTGCTTCTTTCCTGCTTGCAGCCCCTCACCTGTGACCCACGATGGCACTGAAGGGACCCCGTCTCTGTGTTCAACAAACAGTCCCCGGGAGCTGACAGTGGTTAATTTGTCCTCCAGGAGTCCTGCTCCAAATGACTGTGTAACCAAGGAGGAGGGGGCAGTAAAACGGGCTGATAAGAGGGGAAACTCTCCACCCCCCGGAAAGCCTAGAGGCAGGTGTCGGGGAGGAAAGGGCAGGAGGCAGAGAGGATGGGAAGGACTGGCATGCGAGGCCTGCGGAGGGGCCCTGCTGGGGGACTGGCCGGGCTGGAGCAAAAGGAGGCCAGGTGGGAGCAAAATGGCCAGGAAGTGTGTCTAGGCCCATAAAATGTGTTTACCCAGCTCCAAGAGTTTATGGGTCACACATTGCTGGAGGCTGGGCCGGGGGGCAGCCTCAGTTGTGCTTACACGAGCTTGTAAATAGCAGAGCAGGAGAGGACTCTAAGGACCTACGGTCCATGTGGGGAAACTGAGGCCCAGATACAGGGGTATGGTGAGTGTCACGGTAGGGCCTGATCTAAGCATCCACCTGGGAACTCCAAGATGTCACTCTGGCCACAAAGATCCAATTTGCCTGAGAGTGACTGATAGCCTAGGAGGGATGTGAGTGAGAATTTGAGCACTAGAATCTAGACTTTCTCGTGGAGGGTAGGAGGTGGAGGGAAGAGGGGGATCCCCACCTCTTGAGGTGGGTGATTGAAGAGAGTGAGAAACTCATCCAGAGACAGGGAACAGGTAAAAGATCATGTGTCCTGTTTTAGGAGCTATGCCCCACGAAAGTGTCAGGCTCTTTGGTGGCACAGTGGTTAAGAGCTGGGCTGCTAACCAAAAGGTAGGCAGTTCAAATCCACCAGCTGTTCCTTGGAAACCCTATGGGGCAGTTCTACTTATCCTGTAGGGTTGTTAGGAGTCAGAACTGACTCGATGGCAATGGGTTTGGATGGTGCAAATGGTTAATGTGCTCGGCTGCTAACCAAAAGGTTGGAGGTTCAAGTCTACCCAGAGGTGCCTCTGAAGAAAGGCCTGGCAATAGACTTCCAAAAATCAACCGTTGAAAACCCTGTGGAGCACAGTTCTAATCTGACACACATGGGGTTGCCATGAGTTGGAGTTGACTTGATAGCATCTGGCTAGGGTCTTCTGCGATAAAAAGTAAGCCTTAAAATCTCAGGAGATTCATTGCTCTTTGATGCCATAGTTTGGGCAGGAGGGCCCTGCTCTTCACAGTCGTCCAGGAACCCAGGCTCTTTCCCAACTGTGGTGCTACCATCTTCAAATCATAGGCTTCAAGTTTTCCAGGGAAGGGAAGGGCACAAAGGAAGGAATTTTCATGAGTCAGAAGCAGAAGTGATGCATATCACTTCTGTTAGTATTTATATTGTCTAGAATGAGTCACATGACCCTGCCTAGTGCTGGGGCTGGGAAATGGAGTTTTCCCCTGTGCCCAGAGGAAAATGAACCAGTTTGGTGAACATAGCAGAATCCTGCTTCACCGTCCTTTATGAGTGGGAGGCTGGAGTCTTGGAGACGGCAAGGCCGTCCTGTTGTTGTTAGGTGCTGTCAAGTCAGCTCCCACTCACAGTGACCCTGTGTACAATAGAATGAAACACTGCCCAGTCCTGTGCCATCCTCACAATTGTTGTTATGCTTGTGCCCATTGTTGCAACCACTGTGTCAATCCATCTCGTTGAGCATCTTCCTCTTTTTGGCTGACTCTCTACTAAGCATGATGCCCCTCTCCAGGGACTGATCCCTTCTGATAATGTGTTCAAAGTAAGTGAGACAAAGTCCCACCATCCTTGCTTCTAAGGAGCATTCTGGCTGTACTTCTTCCAGGACAGATTTGTTTGTTCTTCTGGCAGTCCATGGTATATTCAACATTCTTCACCAACACCATAATTCAAAGGCATCAATTCTTCTTCGGTCTTCCTTATTCATTGCCCAACTTTTGCATACATTTGAGGCAATTGAAAACACTATGGCTTGGGTCAGGCGCACCTTGGTCCTTAAAGTGACGTCTTTGCTTTTTAACACTTTAAAGAGGTCTTTTGCAGCAGATTTTCCCAATGCAATGAGTCTTTTGATTTCTTGACTGCTGCTTCCATGGGCGTTGATTGTGGATCCAAGTAAAATGAAATCCCAGGCCATCCTAGGCTGGCTAAAGGGGTTGTTGCAATAGGAGGGGAAGTTTCCTTTCCCTTAAGGACTGGTGCTTGGGATGGTTGGTTCAGCTAGGACAGGGGTGTGAGGGGAGGAAGCAGTGACGGAGCCCTTCTTATGTGCTGAACCCCAGGCCAGGTGCTGGGCACTCACTGTCTCATTTGATCCATGAAACACGCTATCAGTTAGGGAGACCTGGTGGCACAACAGTTAAGTAAGGGCTGCTAACTGAAAAGTTGCCAGTTCAAACCCACCCAGTTGCTCTGCAAGAGGAAGACCTGACAATCTGCTCCCGTAAAGATTACAACCTAGAAAACCCTAAGGGGATTTTCTACTCTGTCATATGGAGTCGCTAGGAGTCAAAATCAACTCGATGACACCTAATGACAACAACAATGCCATTGTACAGATGAGGAGACTCACTCAGAGAGATGACATGACAAGTGTAAGGTTATACAGCTAAGGAGCAGAAGAATCAGGGTTCAAACCCAGGTTGTTGTTAGCTGCCGTAGAGTTGGCCTCTGACTCATGCGAGTTCCACGCACAACAGGATCAGACCATTATGATCCATAGGGTTTTCATTGGCTGATTTTCAGAAGTAGATCGCCAGGCCTTTCTTCCTACTCTGTCTTAGCTTGGGAGCTCCACTGAAGCCTGTTCAGTATCATAGCATCAGACAAGATTCCACTGACAGATGGGTGGTGGCTGCGCATGAGGTACACTGGCCAGGAATCAAACCTGAGTCTTCTGCACGGAAGGTGAGACTTCTACAACTAAACCGCCATTGCCCCCTCAAACTCAGGATACTTGGGTTCTATAGCCCATGGCCTCCCACTTCATGATAATACCCAGAAGCCATCTGGTCCAACCCTATCATTTTATAGATGCAGAAACTGAGTCTCAGAGAGAGAAATTTCCAGAGTTACACTTGTTGTTTTTAGTGCCTTATTAGATTTCCTTTTATTTTGCCTCTCTTGGGTGAGCCTGGCTCCTGGGCAGGTTAAGAAAACACACCTCTGTGAGGTGGATCAAGAGACCTGCTCTCTTTCCAAACTATCTCCCTGTGGTTAGCCACAGCCCTGGAGATCCTGACTGCAATATTTTATTCATTCACTTTTATGCTCATTCCACAAACATTTCTTGAGCACCTATAATGTGTCAAAAGCTAGGGAGATGTAGATGAACGAGACACAGACCCTGCCTGGAGGTTCTTACCTTCTGGGATGGTGGTGGTGGGAAGAAGGCAGAAGATGGCTACAGATTCACAGTTCCACAAGCTGGCAAGTGGACAGTGGTCAGTGAGGGAATCTCGTGGGGCTTCAGAGAATTGTTGTGGCTGTTGGGATCAAAGAAAGCTTTGTAGAGGAGAAAAGACAGAAGCAGGAGGGGTCTTCATACACAAGTTCCCTTTATGAGTCATCTCATTTAATCTATTCTAAAACCTGAAAAACTTGCTGCCGTGGAATCCATTCCGACTCATAGCGACCCTGTAGGACAGAGTAGAACTGCTCATAGGGTTTCCAAGGAGCACCTGTTGGATTCGAACTGCCAATCTCTTGGTTAAGCACTACCCCACCGGGTTTCCATTCTAAAACAAGCAAGCAAATAAACCCTGGTAAGGTAGATATTTTAGACCCATTTTATAGGGAAGAAACTTAGGTTCAGAGATTTGAAGTAAGATGCCCTGAGTCCCACAGCCGAATAGTGGTAGAGCTGGGATTCCAAACTGAGTTCAAACGTCTTGCTTTTTCTAGTGTAGTCTAATGACCCTCAGAAGTAGAATTTTGAGTTGGGTGTTGAAGAATGAGTAGGTTATGTGGTGACAACAGTATGAACAAAGAATTGTAATAGGGACGTGTTGAGGCATTCACGTACGTGTTACGGATTGAATTGTGTCCCTCCAAAACATGTGTTGGAATCCTAACCCCTATACCTGTGGATGTAATCCTATTTGGAAATAAAGTTTTCTTTGTTACGTTAATGAGGCCATAGCAGTGTAGGGTGGGTCCTAAACCTCATCACTTCTGAGTTATAAGGAGCAGCACAGACACAGAGACAAGCGAGCACAAATGGTGGAAGATAGATGCCACGTGAAGATTGCTAAGGAACTCAGGAGTGCTGGGGCTATGGAAGCTGAAGGAGACAAGGGACTTCCCCCAGAAACAACAGAGAGAGAGCTTCCCCTAGATCCAGTGCCCTGAATTCAGACTTCTAACTTCTTGAACTGTGAGAAAATAAATTTCTGTTCTTTATAGCCACCTGCTTGTATTTCTGTTACAGCAGCACTAGGAAACTAAGACAGTACACAGTGAATAGTTTTATTTATGGGAGAGGAAGTTTGTTTTGTGAAGAGATGTTTAGGAAGAAAACACTGGAAAGGTAGGTTGGAGCCATCTGTTCATTTATTCACCCGTCAAATATTTTTTTAAGCCCCTATCATGATGTGCCAGGCAGTGATCTCAGTGCTGGAAAGATCAAAATAGATGAGGTCCCTATTCTCATGGAACTTACATTGTGATTTGACAGATAATAAACAGGTAACAAATAAATGCCCAATATAATTTTCATTAGTGATAATGGTATAAATTAAACAAAAGGGATGGTGACCTAAGGAGTGGCCAGGTGAGGGAAGGTACTTCAGCTTTTTCAGATCTGAATTTCATCCCATAGGAACACAGAGCCAGTGCTATTTTTTATGAGTAAGGGCTCCACCATGAAACAAACTGTAGGGTTAAGGCAGGCATCTGGGACCCAAGGGAGAAGGAGATAAGTTATAGGCCATGTGCCTTGGTGTCAAGGAGGGAGTTCGTATCAGTTAGGGTGACTTCAGTTGCAAATAATCAAATACACCGTGTCTTAGTCATCTAATGGTGCAATAACAGAAATACCACAAGTGGATGGCTTTAACAAAGAGAAATTTATTCCCCCACAGTCTAGGAGACTAGAAGTCTGAATTCAGGGTGCCAGCTCCAGGGGAAGGCTTTCTCTTTCTGTCCGCTCAGGAGGAAAGTCCTTGTCATCAGTCTTACTGGTCAAGGATCTTCTCAGCGCAGGGACCCCGGGTCCAAAGGACATGCTATTCTCCTGGTTCTTGTTTCTTGGGGTATGAGCTCCCCATGTCTCTCTGCTTGCTTCTGTCTTTTATATCTCAAAAGATACGGACTTAAGACACAAACTAACCTTGTAAATTGAGTCTTGCCTCATTAATGGAACTGGCTAATCCCATCTCATTAACATCATAGAGGTAGGATTTACAACACATAGGAAAATCATATCAGATGACAAAATGGTGGACAATCA